TCGGAGTGGACGGACGTGTTTTCTAAGCAGCTTGAAATTCGACTCCCCAAATCCAGAATTTCGTTGGGTTCTTGTCCTTTTTGCTCTTGTTTTTACTGTCAAATTGCTTGCTTTGTTTCAACGTCCATAATGTCGGCAAATTCGAGGAAAAACAAACGAGGTGACCGGGGTTCTAGCTCAGGTTCTGCTGAAAATTCCGCCAAGAAGCCAAACATGAAGGAAATCGAGGAAGAAGGTATATTCGGCGACGAGGACTCCTCTGAAGAAGAACCAACTCCGCTGGAAATTAAACTGATGCTATCATCTATACAGTCCTCAATTACGAGCATCTCGAGTGAAAACGTCAAATTTAGAGAAGGCATGGAGGAGCTAAAGAAGTCGCTGAGATCCAATGAAAGGGAACTCAAGGAGCTTAAAGCGTCTCTTGAAAAGGCTAACAAGCAAAATGCTCTACTTCAGAAAGAACTACTTGGGAATAAAACAAAACTAAACGAGCAGACGGAAAGGATCGACTCGTTGATTGAATCGCTTGAAAACCTCGAGCAATATTCGAGAAAAAAAATTCCCTCGAAATACATGGTATCCTGGAAAATATTTACACCTCAACGGAAGAAGTTGTTCTCAAGGTAGCTGAGGCTGTTAATGTCCTTGTTGCTGTGGAGGACATCGAAATCTCTCACAAGCTAAGACGACGAAATGGTATGAAGCCTATAATCATAAAATTTTGTAGCCATAAAGTTAAGTCTCGTCTATATAAAGAGCTAACGAAATTGAAGCCAGTAAAGATATCAGATTTATATCCCAGTTATGCCTCAGCAGCAACAAAGCAAAACCGTATATTTATCAATGAAAACCTCACACCTTATAGGGCAGACTTAGTAAGACAAGCGAATGATATGAAGGCTGATGGATTTTTATCAAGTGTTTGGACACTAGACGGAAAGGTATATGTTAAAACTTCACCATCAGGTAATCCTGTTAGAATTTACTCTGAAGATGATCTTGATGAATTATAAATGCTTAACAAACATCCATGCAATAATTACGGGAGGTCAATTTCGCCATAGGCTTAGATTGTACGAAGGTTAGTCTCTTAAGCGTATTTTTCTTAAAAAACTTTTGTACTTTATTAGTTTTTGTTGTAAAGTTAGGTTTTTCTTTTTGCTTTTTCTTTGTTTGTTTTCTTTTTCTTGATTAATTCGTTGCTGTTGAGTTTAGTTAACGTATCCTAATATTAGCATAACAATTGTGCATTTAAGGTGATAATACAGTATGACACTTATCAAATTCCTATCACTGAATGTAAGGGGATTACGCAATCATGTCAAACGAAGGGCATTATTTTCGTATCTAAAGAATCAAAAAGCTGATTTCTACTGTCTCCAGGAAACATTCTCACTGAAAGGAGACAAAGTCTCTTGGGCTACAGAATGGGGTGGGAAAGTATTTTTCTCACACGGTACAGAACACTCTAAAGGCACTTGCATATTACAGAGACCAAATTCTTTGTTTTCGTCTAGCGTCCAGCTTATCGATCCAGATGGTAGACTAGTCATTGTTAAAATTAGGGAAGGCGATGAGGATCTTTTTTTAGCCTCTGTGTACGCTCCTTGTGACCCTCAAAACCAATGTTGTTTTATTCAGAATTTATGTACTGTTATTGTTTCTAACACAAACACGTCCAAAGTTATTATTGTTGGAAATTCAATAATACAAGTGCCCTATGGTATTCCTTATGGACCCAAAGGTAATCTTAGTTTGCTAAACGGTAAAGCCAGATTCTACATTTATGCCCCATAAATGCATGTCTTATTATGTGTAATCTGGTGTATATTAAAATATCACACGTAACGTTAAGAATAAAACTAATTATAACTTGCATAATTTCCACATAAGCAAAAATGAATTTTACCAGTTCATATTGATTGCAGATCAAAAAAAAATATCAATTTTGGTTTCTTTAGTTCTTTTGTTACTTTTAGCTGTATTTAGTTGTATTTATTTCCTGTAAACATGACCCACCTAGATTAGCTTAGCTACCCACGGGCATGTTATTGTACTTTTAGAGGTAAGTGCATGGTCATTTTTGCCATGTAGAAGCCACCTTTGTTCTTTCTGACATTATTTTGTCTACTCCCTTTCTTTTACAAGGTACAATGACACCAACGAAGCTATGTAGTTTAATAAATGTAGAAAGTTCTGTGGTTAGAGCTCAACATAGCACCTTTGCTGAAAAGTTTTAATAAATTTGAGTGAACAGTAAACAAAACATCACCCTTGATATTCAAAATTGAGTAGGAAACGTATTGACACAACTTAATCTTTAAAGACAAGCCTGAAGAAACAGAAGATGTGATGAAATCACTAATGGCCATTTACTTTGGCAGAAAAAAACTGAAGATCTGAAACATCACCCTAGTGATCCTGAAAACTTTTCGGACAACCTGTACCAACCAGAAACAGGTGCTAATGGTGAACGAATCCACCACTGTGAAGACCATAATCACGTTCTCAAATGTATAGTGTCTCGTCTTCGTGAAGGCCTTATTCCAGGCATTGATTCAAGATACCTTCGAGATGCTCTGCATGACCCTTCTACTGGTTTGACATATGAGGCGCTTACTGGGAAAGACAAGCAGTCAGTACCTGATTGTGAGCGGCTCATTGGTCCTGGAGTTATTTGATTCCTTGAACGAAAAGGTCACACAAGAGGGGCCAGCATTATTAGACTGATCCACAACTGGCACAAAGCAGTTGATGGGAGAGGACTTTCCGAAGAACAGCGCTCGACTTACTGTAGGGACATGAAAGAGTGGTTGTTATCAGATTGGATGCCATGGTACAGTCCTCAACCTGACTTTAGCACTATTGGTGTGAACAGGTGGGCTATTAATTTATTATCTTTTGTAGAGGAACCCTTGATGATCCTTTAAAAAAATATAGGATATCAGGGTTCCCCAGGAAATTTAAAGTAGAAAAAAAAAACCTTCAGCCATACATTACATGTAGGTGATTTGTCTTGGCATGGGTGTGGAAAGGGGCATAGCCCCATTTATTGAAGGAATCTGATGACCTTTCCAGGGAAATTTTGAATTGTGGAATCCTTAAAAGTAAACTTTCATGCATTTTGTGGGGCCCAAAAAAAAATGGCATACATGTGTGAATGGCTTCGTTATTATTTACCCATTAACTGCTTTACCAAATATCACATTTGCTTTACCAACTGACCCCAGTTGTTCAGTTGTGTTTGCTTTGCTTACTGGCATAAAGAGAACTTTGTTTTGAGTGGTTTGAAATCCTTTCGTATATATGTATCTCATGTCAAGGCCTATAAAGGGGATCTGTGGCTTTACTCAAGAAACTATTGTGGGTCTGGTAGCAACCTTGGAGAGTAGAGACTTACAAAATGCCAGGAAAGAGCGCTCCCCCCGCGCACATGAGAGCATCAGCAACTGATGATGTTGAAGGGATTATAGCCCTAAAATATGAAATGCTTGGAGACATCTTTGATGTCAAACAATATTTGGATGCACGACCGAAAATTCTCAGTGAACTCACAGATCCCAGATCCAGACCCAGATCTGGAATTTTTTTTTACTGAACAGGAGCTAACGAACAGTACAGAGACTTTGAACTTCCTTCATTTAACGAACCATCTGGAGAAGGACTCATTCAAAGAGACTCGATCGAATCAGTTTGTCACGGAGAGGAGATCCAGGTGTCCTTGTTGCCAACAGAGCTTCCTTATCCCAGAGGGGACAATTAACTGTCAGAGCCTGCTTTCATAGAACCCTGGTAGAGTTGCCTCCACCTCAGCTGGAAGGACAATAGTTATCGTTCTGGGCTCAGTTGATCAAAGATGGGTTAAGATAACCCCAGGGTTAGTGTAAGATTTGCATTCAGATTTGAAATCTTAAAAAGCATGTCAAGTTTAATTCTTTTTGTCTACAAGTTGATGATTGGACACACCGACTTGTTCTAAAAGCAAACGACCCAAAATCCAGGTATGGGATTTTTTGATAAAACAAGGAGTATCTTTAAGTAACAAAAGGCACGTAGGGCTCAGTTAAATGGTACCATAATGGCGTCGAAACGTGTGGAACCAGGCTATCTCCATAACCTGCCCCATTCCCCTACGGCTATTTTTTACATTTCCTACCCTCCTGACCTGTTTCCTTGATTGCCTTCTGAGCTCCTGATGAGACAAGACTTTCAACTTTCAACATTTTGAGATAAGATGCTTTTTGTTTAAAAGGATGAGCTCATCATATCTCATTATCATATAAACTGGGGAAAGATAAGTTAACAATTGGTAGAAAGGTTATTATAGGTGGGCTAATCATTTTTACAGCTGTCCCCGGAGGAGGAAATTGAAGTATGTAGCTGCCTAGCAGCCATAGAAATAGAAGAAAGGAAGAAAGAAATTGAAAACAAAGAAAAGGAATTACAAAAAGAAGAAGGATTAAAACAGAAAGCAATTGAAATTAAAAGCACAAGTATAGAGGCCAAGCGGGTGCTGCCCAACTGCAGCTAATGGCAGCGTAGCTAGACCGTTTTGTTAGCCACATTCTAGTAGAGGGCAGAAAGGAAAAAAAGATAATGAAAAAAAGGAGAAGAACAAAAGGAAGGTAATACACCAGCATGCACTATGTGTAAATTTAAGGTACAAATCGTTTTCTTCAATACAAAAGTAATGTACAAAGTTCTTAGTAGAAATGGCTTAAGTCAGACCTGTAGTGATATAAATAACATTAATAAACATATTTCTCGCATCCTGTATGATCTTTTCCTTTTCCATGTAATCCACACCTACGCTTCAATCCTCCGTTTTCCCACACTGCACCACGCTCTTTGGGAAATCTATCACTCTGTACTAGATCTTTACAGATATCCAATTAGCAGGCACCTCCTCCATCATACACACCAAGCATTCCTCACCATCTAAAAAGTTTTCCCTCTCGAGGAAGCACCTATTTTTGAAACCGGTCAGATAAAAGTAAATAAAATAAAAGAGATTAATAAATATACACAAGTCCAGATATAGAAAATAAATAAATATAGACAATGTTGTCCCTAAAATCCCGAATTACATGTTTAGCACCTCTATAAATATAGACAATATTATCACTAAAATCTAATAACATCTTACTACGTAAGCTGAGTTGTTATGGTGTCAATGGCATTGCTCTTCAGCTGCTTAAGTCATATTTGACTGACAGAACACAGAGATGTTGTGTAAATGGAGTCTTATCCACAGAACAATATGTATCATGTGGCATTCCCCAGGGCTCTATACTTGGACCACTATTGTTCATAATTTATACAAACAATTTTCCCAAATGTCTACGGCATATGACGCCTGGTATGTTTGCCGATGACACATATATATATATAACTCCAGCTTATGAAGATATATCCACAATTGAATGTTCTTTAACCCTTTCATGCGCAATCGTACGAATTCGTACGATTTTTACCGTTACCCATTTGAGACCTCAGGGTACCCCTGGTAAGTGTCACTTGGATTTGTAAACAACTATTATGGGATAGAAAGAGCACATTCTTCGAATGAAACTGCTTTTGCTTGCTTGAGTAGGCCGATTTCGACCGTTTTTTCGCAAAAAAAGTTATTTTATCAAACGCTTTCCCTTTAAATATGGCGTCAGCAAGTATTCCACTCGATGAAGTGGTTCGAATGGTGACAGAAGATATCCCAGGCGAGGTATTTTCGGATGAAAGCGAAGAAGAGCTCTCTGTTCATGGTAGCAGTGAAAGTGAGGATCAAGGTTCAGAAGATAATCAAGATTTTAACGATTCTGGGGATTCAGACGCGGACAATCATAGCAACGGTATGTTTTGAGATTGTTTACGTGGACTAGCAACTGTTATAACCGCATATTTGTCGCATTCCAAATTATTACTTTCTCAATAATTTTTGTGCGTTTGTAGTTTGTGTTTTCGTAACCCTCATTTGTGGATCTAAGACTGTTCATTTACTTCTTCCTAGATGGAGAACCTCTGCGTGATCGAAGCCCGATACGTCGTGGTACACGTGGAGGAGGCCGTGGAGGAGGTCGTGGAAGAGGCCGTGGAAGAGGCTGTGGAAGAGCAGGTCGGGGAGAATGTCCTCAAGATCCTCCAATTCCTTGGTCCAGACGTTATATCCCACAGGCAGCTATGCCATTTGGTGAGCCATCACCGGGTCCAACTCAGAGGTATCCAAATGACTGTGGAGAGGGTGCATTTTTCAATGCAATGTTTACAGATGATTTATGGAATCTCATTGTCACTGAAACAAACAGGTACCATGACCAACAGGCCTTGGCTGATCCTCATAAGCATAAGAGGAAATGGAGCCCCGTTACCAGAGAGGAAATGGAAGCTTTTGTGGGAATTATTATCCACATGGGAGTAGTCAAATTGCCAAGAATAAAGATGTATTGGAGCAATAATACTCTTCTCCATCAGAAAAGTGTTAGTGAAGTAATGTCACAAACCAGGTTTATTCAGATCTGGCGATATTTTCATCTCGCTGATAACAGCAGTGCAATACCAAGAGGGAGCCCTGGGTTTGACAAAATCTATCGAGTAAGAGAATTTCTCAATGTAATTTTCAGAAATGCTCAGAGGCTTTACAGACTGGACAGAGAAATTACCATTGACGAGACCATGGTCCCACATAAGGGGAGACTTTCATTCAAACAGTACATTAAAAATAAGCCCACCCGCTGGGGCATAAAACTTTGGGTGCTATGTGAGGCCAAGACAGGCTATGTGTACAATTTTGGTGTTTATCTTGGCAAAGAAGAAGGGAACGTGGAGCATAATTTAGCTCGAAGGGTAGTGAGGAAGCTGGTATCATCAATTGAAAAAAAGTGTCACCATCTCTACATGGACAATTTCTACTGTGATCCACATCTCTTCTTAGAGCTGGAAACAAAGGAGATTCTTGCTTGTGGAACAATTAGGGCAAATCGAAAGGGTTTCGCTAAAGATATTGTGCTTACTCGAGCCATGGAAAGGAGAATGAATCATGGAGATTATATATGGAGAAGTCATGGACGCTTGGTTGCCATGGCATGGTTTGATAAGCGGGCTGTTTATTTGATCTCTACTATCCATCCTCCTGAAAGTACTGGTGAACAAGCTGTGGTTCAACAACGTGGTGCTGAAGGGGCTCGTGAACCTGTACCCTGCCCACCAGCACAATCTGCGTATCAAGAATATATGGGTGGAGTTGACCTAGCTGATCAGATTTTGCAAAGTTTCAGCGTTATTAGAAAATCAAACAAAGCATGGAAAAAACTCTTTTATTATGGATTAGAAGTTTGTTTGCTCAACTCTTTTGTTATTTTCAAGAAAGTAAAGCCAGACCCAGATGACTTCCTATGTTACAGGATTGCTGTTGTCCAGCACCTGTTGGAGGGCAAATGCTTTCGTGGTCTACCTGGCCGGGTACCAACAAGACCCCTTTCTGCTGTGGAGATGAGGAGACTCAACAGGCAGTATCACTCTATTGCTGTTGAGGAGAGAAGAAGAGATTGTGTTGTGTGTGCTTAAGTTGTTTCAGTCCAACACTTGAGCAAGAACCTTCAAAACAAGATGAACATTGTTTGTGTCACTTGTGATCGAAAACCCTTGTGCCTTCATTCCAAGCGGAATTGCTGGGAAAAGTGGCATTCTTTAGTGGAGTACTGGAGATAGTCTTGACTACATTGAAATTATATTTTTTTGACAAAAAGGGAGTCCCAGAGGTGGGAACAAACAGACACTTGCTCGATTTGTATGGAAAATTACAGAAAACTTTTAGTTTTTGGTGCGTTCGGGCATCTAAGTTTTTTTATCAGAGATCAGTTTTCTGTATAAAGTCCCCCTTGCTAGGCTTTAGGATGGCCTCTTTTTTCTTTTGAGATAATTTTTTTTCTGTTTTGCATTTATTTGTAAGGAAGTTTTATGTTCTGGGGAAAAAACAGTTCCTAATTGTGGCACTTTACTGAACTTTTGTAATTTACCAGATTGTACCTTGTCGCAGAAAAGTTAGTGTAACTTTTGATCCAAAAATGATAATTAAATAGGGTAAAAAGCATTTGAATCTTGAAATGCTGTTCATCATCATAAATAACCTCAATCTGGGCTCTGGTGACAGAGGAGTGATTTTTGGAAGTAACAAAAATAATATAATTTTTTTGTATCTTGTTGCCTAAAATTTCAAATAATTGGGAGGGGGTGGTTCTAATGCAACAACATTCCCAACAGATACCTCCTGAAAGCATTTTTTCTCCTGAATAAATTGATATATAGTTTATGGGGTGGTAAACTGCTTCGTAACAGAGCTGTTGGGCATTATTTAGGTTCCGGTTAAAGTTCATACTTAAGTCTTCAGGAAACTGCTACCGAAAGGGTTAAACAGTGACTCAATTGCAGTATATAATTGGCTTAAGACAAACAAATTGAGTTGCAATACTTTAAAACTAGTTATATGACAAATGGCTCTCGGCAAAATTTGGCAAATGCCAAGTTCATGAATCTAGAGTTGGATAATAGACCTATTGAACGCAATCCTTCTACCAAGTTACTAGGGCTTCATATTGATGAAATGCT